CTCCAGATCTGACTCACCGTCCCCACTCCAGACTGAGCCCAAGGTCCACTATCCCAGAGGTCCCCGGAGAACTCAGTCCCACTCCCCGGGCCTGCCTGCTTGCTTGCCCGCTCGCCCGCCTGCCAAGGACTGAGCCCCGCCACCCCGTGCAGCTCCTGCTCCGCGTCCCACGTGTCCCGGGGTCAGTCGGGGATCGCAGGACTGGGATGGGACCCTGCTCCTGGGTGGGCGGGGATGGTAAGGAGGTCGTTCGCCCTGCTGGCACCCGGCTCCCAGCCGGGCCTTGTGTAGCCCGCTGGTGTGCGAGCCGGAGCCTAAGCGCTCTTGGGGGATGCTAACTTCCAAAACTAGGCAGCCTCTTGAGGCTTCTAGGAATCCGCACAGCCAGCCATAGACCCCGCCTGCAAATCTGTCGCCCCAGGGAAAGAGTCTGATGCTCTGACTCTACTAAATAAATGGAGGTGCGAGGGAGGGCTCAGTCTGGGCGAGGCCGCTCAGGGCACTAACCACCTGGGAAGACCCAAGTCGCCTCCGGGGACTAGTCCTTGAGGGTCCTTCAGCAAACCCTCCCCAGTGGGGTGTCAGCGGCTCCCGGAGCGATAAAGCTCGGTGGAGCCCCCCACTGGTCCAACCAGATTCCTCAGCCTGAGACGGTGCCGCAGGCTACGTGAAAGATCTGACAAACCTTTCTATCTGCCTGTCTTACTTTCTTACTCTCCTTCTTGCCCTGCTTTCGTTTTTTGCAAAATTACTCACGGTAACTTCTTGCAAGTTCACTACGTCCTAATTTATAGAGTCATGGGTTCAGGCCTCTAGTCCAATATCCTCCCGCCCCACCCCACCCCCACTCCCGGTGATTCTTTTAGTTTTACTCTGACTGATGTCTGAGGCACTCCTGAGTTTCCAACTCTTGGCGTTTCCCATCTGCTGCACCCTGTTGTCCAGGAACTCTGGGCTGTGCTTTGGGGGAATGCTAACAAATACCATGAATTTAGGATGAAAAAAAATGGGATGTTACCTGAAGAGATGGCCTCAAGGGCCAGTTCAGGTCAGAGTTAATTAGCCCCCATGGCAAAGAGTGAGTGCAGAGACAGGCCAGAGAGCCCAGTGTTGTACTCAACAACAAGTTTCGTCATTCATTCGGTTTCATGGCCTGCATCTGTAAAACGGGTGATTTTTAATTCATTTGCCTACTGATTTATGTGAAGAAATAAATAACATGTCATGCCTGAAATTTTTATATGGCTGTCAGTACTACCTACCATGCAAGTCCCAGCTGTCCAAGAACAGAAATTCCCAGCCAGTTAACCTAGGCAGTATTCCCTCACAAGCTCCCTTCCGGTTTGCCAGGCAGGTCTAATGTGTCTTGGTTCATCCCTTTCCTCCCTCAACCTTAAGTCTTGAATCATATCTGTGACTATACATTCATCATCTTTCCAGGCCCCACAAGTCTTTCTTTTCTCTGTCATCTTACTGTATTTTACACACACACTCTAACATGTATAAGCTGGTTCCAGGCCTGTTCTTATGATGATCTGTTAGAAATTTGATACTGGATTTATTCTGCATGTTGGAGATTGTTTCTTGGGCTTTGGGGAACAAGCGTCATCACCATCCTTCCAAATATGCCCATGTGGAGAATTGGAGATAGTTTCCAGATAACTTCATTTATTTATTTATGTATTTATTATTTCTTTGGGGGGGGATTTCAAGACAGGGTTTCTCTGTGGCTTTGGAGACTGTCCTGGAACTAGCTCTTGTAGACCAGGCTGGTCTTGAACTCACAAAGATCCGCCTGCCTCTGCCTCCCGAGTGCTGGGATTAAAAGCGTGCACCACCAACACCCGGCTCCAGAAAACTTTACAAGAGTAAAAGCCACCTACCTTCTCAAAGCCTCCTTGAAGAACATTGAAAAATAGAGTATGTGTAATTGTTGGCAGCTGAACCTATTTATAAATCAAGAATAGGAGTGTAGGCAGACTCAATTTCACAGACAACTAAGAGCATTCAGGATGCAGAATATTAGAGCTAGGAGTCTTAAGCCAGCCATTCTACATACAAATTAGAAGTAAAGCAGAATTTCCCAAAGGGTCAGAATGACTGGCCCAGCATGTCTGGGGGAGGTTTATAGTCAATGCTATTAAAACACAGACAACAAGCAGAAATTACCGTAATGATCATCACTCATACTACCCAAGAACATCAAATACAATTGCTAGCTTAAGAAAAACAACCAAGTAAGAAATCAGTTAATGCCTCCACTTCAGGCATATACTAGACCAGGAAAAGAAAGCAAGACCTTGGCTACTAAAATATCCCTACATACTTCCAAGGCTTTATATGCACCAGGTATGAGAAAGCATCCCACCCCCAAAGTTATACAGTACAAAGTATGTCATTCAACACATTCATGGAAGAAACAGCAACTGAAGAAATAGTGACCAAGGAGAGAATTCCAAAGCAAAGCTGGAGATGTTATCAGAAGTTTTTTCTGTATGCTGGCTGTGGGCAGACAAAAGAGTAATGATATGACTTCATACTACCTTAAGCAGCAATGCACTGCTGAAACACTAACAATGACTGCTATAATTGCTCCCACTTGCACAAGACAGGTGCCGCTCAATGGTACAGTGCCTGCCTAGCACGCGTGACACCTTGGGCTTGATCTCCAGCAATACCCCTATGTGTGTGTGCATGCAAAGACACACACACACACACACACACACACACACACACACAGAGGCATACATACAGTGAGAGATAATGCATTGTCATTGTTGGTTATTACACAATTCTGAGCTGTAGGAATATATTACTGCCATTTAGTATTAACAATAAATCTATGAGTATATAGTATTATTGCTATTGTTATTGTTGCTGTTGTTGTTGTCCCATTTAGCAGTTAAGGAAGCTAAAGCAACTAGATGTTGGGATTTTTACCTCCTAAGCTACACACTTTTTTTTGGTAATATAGTGTGTTGGTTAGTTTTTTGTCAGCTTGACACAGCTAAGGTCATCTGGAAAGAGGACTATCAAATGAGAAAAATGCCCCCGTCAGATTGCCTTTAGGCAAACTTGTGAGACATTTTCTTGATTTATGATTGATATGGGAGAACTCATGGGGGCAATGGGAGCCCAATGGGGGCAATGTCATCCCTGGATAGGTCATCCTGGGGTGTATATAAAAGCAAGCTGAGCTAGCCATGAGGAGCAAGCCAATAAGCAGTGTTCCTCTATGGTCTGTGCTCCAGTTCTTTCCTCCATGTCTTGAACTTTTGCCCCGGCTTCCCTCGGTGATGGACTGTGACCTGGGATGTATGAGCCAAACGAAACTTTCCTCCCCAGGTTGCTTTTGATATTTGTGTTTATCACCGCAATAGAAAGCAAACCAAGATACACATGTTCTGTACTATTTTAAATTCCCTGCCTCCTTCTTACCAGCATCCAGTCTCACTTACATCTTTGTGTTCCATAGCTCCTCTTACACCCTAGCCTGGCCCGCCACAAGCTTTTCCATTCTGCCCCCACTGGACCCCATTGCTCTTAATTTCCATCATACTACACCGTCAGATTCTGTCTGTCCCTCCATGTGCTGGTCACACGCATGTATTCTGTGTCTGTAAGTTGTTAGCATGCCATTAGATAGCATCATGTTGCCAAGAGGTTTCTCAGGATTGCTACCATTAGTTGTTAGCTTTGGGGACTAGAATCAGGGACAGCAAGGGGCCTTTATTACGGTTGTATTTCCCCATGAAGGTGAATGGCTTCTACGAGCTAAGAAATGAGAGAGAGGAGAGGTGTAAAATCCACCATGTCTCTTTGCTTTTGCAGAGAGTGTGGCACACGTGTGGCCTACAGTTTCCCACTTGCAGCCTGGTGTGTTGTTCTCTGGTCCCAGGGGTACTTGCTTGTTAGGACAAAAGACTCTTGGACTTGAGAATGGTGATGGGAGTGGAGCTTTGTGGCCAAGGCCCCAAGCAAGCAGCTAACTGCTATGGAAGGGCAGGACTTACAACTATGGTGCCACTGGATCTCTGTTCTTCCAGGTCACTTCAAATGGCTGATGTCACAGCTTCCTCTTACGTGCA